CAGCAGTAACAAATTAACAGCAGCAGCAGCAGCAGCAGTAACAAATTAACAGCAGCAGCAGCAGCAACAACGAATTAACAGCAGCAACAGGAGAGGTCACAAACAAGCAACAGCAGTAGTAATATTAACAAAAAAACAGCAGCAGCAGCAGCATCAGTAGCGGACAAGCAGCAGCAGCAGCAACAACAATGCAGTCGTAGCAGCAAGACTAAGGGTGGGCGTGCTGCAGCAGCAGTGGCGAGCAGCATGAATTAAACAGCAGCAAAGGAGTATTTTATTTCTTGCTGTTGTCTATATTTTATTTTTTGTCGTTTTTTTTGTCTCTATTTTGTTTCTGTGGCTGCTTCTGTTTGTCTCCTTTTGTTTGTCTCCTTTTGTTTGTCTCCTTTTGTCTGTTTCATCTATTGTCTCTTTTTCTGTCTCTTTTCTCGCTTTTTTCGTCTCCTTCTCTGTCCCCTTTTCTTTCTCTTTTTTAATCTACATTGTCTCCTTTTGTCTGTGTCTGTCTCCCTTGTCTCTCTCCTTTATCTGTCTGTTTATCTGTCTCCTTTTAACTGTCTCCTTATAACTGTCTCCTTTTTAGCTGCCCCCTTATAACTGTCCCCTTTTAACTGTCTCCTTTTAACTGTCTCCTTTTAACTGTCTCCTTTTAACTGTCTCCTTTTTAACTGTCTCCTTTTAACTGTCTCCTTTTAACTGTCTCCTTTTAACTGTCTCCTTTTAACTGTCTCCTCACCAGAGTGATGTCCCCCACAAGCGATAGCAGACAGAGACAGTCCCTCCAGTGTCTCCACTTTATGCGGCTGCAGCCTCAAAACAACAACTTAGGGTTTAGGGTTTAGGGTTTAGGGTTTGGTGTGTCTTTAAGGCGAGTAGAGGAGACAGTAGGAGATAGAGAGACAACAACAGCAGTAATTAAATACACCTCAGCGTACACCCAAACAAACAGCAGCAGAGGCAACAAGAGACAAACAAATAAACAAAAACAAAGCAGCAAGAAAGCCCTATATAGCAACAAAGGAGACAGCAACAGCAGCACAAACCCTAAACCATAGAGAGAAAAAAAGAGACAAAGACCGGAGAGACAGCTGCATGCACATATAAGGAGACACAACAACAAATAAGAAGAAGAAAGAGAAACAATAAACAGAAAAGAGACAGAAAAGAGACAGAAAGGAGATAGACACCTGAGGAGACACCTGAAATGCCCCACCACGTGGCGGTCCTCTTCGTCTCCTAAGCCTGTCATTAAACAAACAGCACAACAAACTGTCTCCTTCTTTGTTTGTTTTATCTAAACAAACGACAAACAAATACAACAATCTCCTCCCTTGCTCTACGTAAGCCAGACAAAATATTGTCTCCACAGGTGCGCCTCGTACTCACAGCAGCAGCAGCAGCAGAAACAGCAGCAGCAGCAGAAACAGCAGTATGCATCGTAAGGAACAGGAGCCACAGCAGCAGCAGCAGCAACAGCAGCTTCTCTAAGAGCAGGAGCGGCAGCAACAACACAACAACAACAGCAGCAGCAGCAAGAGCACTTGCAAGAGAAAATGCATGCATACACGCATGCACTCACCTAATCTTCCTGAGAGGCCTAAGCCGCAGGTGTATAGGGAGGTGTCTCCTTTGTTATTAACAAGAAAGGCAGTATGAAAAGCCCCACAGGAGACAGCAGTAACAAACATTTTCTTAAGTCTCTGCACTCTCTGAGGAGAGGATACAGTTAGCTGCTGCTGCTCCGTACTGTCTCTTAAGTCTCTGCACTCTCTGAGGAGAGGAGACAGTTAGCTGCTGCTGCTCCGTACTGTCTCCACTCCCCTGTGCTGCTGCTCCCCCCTGCTGCTGCTGCTGCTGCTGCTGCTGCTGCAGCTCCTCAAGCCCCAAACACCCGTGAGCAGCACAGCCCCAGGTGTATGCGGAGCCATCATTTAAAATGCATGCAGTGTGCTGCGCCCCACAGGAGACCTGCACCGGCAGCATTAAATAAAAGGAGGCAAAAGAATATTATTATATTATGTTAGAGGAAATTCATGAAAGAAAAGGAGACAGAAGGAGACAAAGGGAAGCAAAAAGAGACAGCGGGAAACAGAAAGAGACAAAAGGAGACAAAAGGAGACAAAAGGGGATTAAAAAGACAAAGGGAGGCAAAAGGAGACAAAACAGGAAGTATATACTGAAAGACGACAGAAGACAAAGAAATAAAAAACACAGGGAGAGACGAAAGGAGGCAAAGAGAAGAGAGAAGGAGAGCGAGAACCGCAGCAGACGAGCTGACAGACAAAGGAGACAAAAGGAGACAGTGCATCTCCGCTGCAGGGGAGGAAAGGAGAGAGCAGGAGACAAATATTGCAAGGACACAAAAACTAAATGGTTTAGGGCTTGGAGTTTCGCGGGGAGAGAAGAACAACTATTCACATCTGCTTAGACCCTCCCTAAACCCCAAACCCTAAACCCTAAACCCTAAACCCTAAACCCTGAAGAAAAAGTAGAAAAATTTCTCACTGCCACAACTGTCTTCCCTAATACAGGCCTCAGCAGCTTAGGACGCGGAGCATCAGCAAAATCTCCTAAGCCCAGCTGCCCCTGACTACCACAGCCCCAAACATGCAGATCTCCTGTTTGCGAGAGACAAGCAAAGTGCTTCCCTCCTGCAGCAATCGCTTGAACTCCAGCAGCAGATAAACCCTCAACTAGACGCAGTTGAAGGCCAGGAGAGCCCCCCCCTGAGGAGGTGGGGGCCCCTGCAGAGGAGGAAGCAGCGCCAGAGGGCCCCCCAAGAGACCCGGAGGGGGCCCCTTCCCACGCATTGTCGTCGCCTTCCTGAGGCAATTGCAGAATTCCACGCACAACGAACCCTAAACCCTAAACCCTAATCATCGCATGCAGGGGAAGACGCACCGGAGGACCCCAAATAACAACTCCAGATTTCGTGGCAGACTGGCCCATGGTGATTCTGATGTTGCTGCGCCTTTGATATTCTACTTGTTCGCGCGCGGAGTCTTCAATTTAGGGGTTGGTTGTGTTGAACATGCAGTCGTAGCTGCAGTTACACCGCAGGGTATGGAGGGGGGAAAGCGAGCGGAAAGCAGGGGAAAGCGGCCATTATTCTGCCGATCTCGGGTGCATTTACGATGAAAATAAACAAATAAAACTTCTCAATCAAGAGAAAAGACGAAAGAAGGTTATTTATTGCAGCTTTTCAAGGCCAATCGAGTGAACGCGCGGTTGAGACAAGAAAGCGTAGAACCGGCTAAATGAGCAGCTGTATTTCCTCAGCAGCTTGTAATACACGAAAAAACAACAATTTAAGTATAACGTTTGCCTTTTGTCTAAATAAAAAACAAATTACTGCAACAATTCCCCCTGGTTCGTCTGCAGTAGGCGGCGATGGTCTTCTGAACGCAAAGTCGGCGGTGGGTTGCGCGGGAGCGGCGGCTCGACAGCGGTGAAAGTAGCAGAAAAGGTATTGAAAATGCATTAATAAAAGCTAAATAAGTTAAATATATTTCTTTTTGCATATTGATTTCAACAAGGACACCCAAAGAAGAAACCTCGAAGACCAACGGGGCTGAGAGCATAGCAGACGACACTTTGTTTGCGGTGTTTGTTTCGCGACTTTCTTTGCATTTTTTCTGCAAATTCCAGTGGAATGTTATTACTAACACTTTTTTTGAGATCCGTTTTAATCCTCATCACTGTTTGTCTGCAAAGGTGGCTCTTCTCTCTCCACGATTGTTGTTACTCTTTCCTTTGATGCAACAGTTTCTGTTTCGGCAGTGTTTCTCCTTCTTTGTGTTGCACTCTACGCTTTCCTTTATTTATCGCCGTTTGCTTTCTATTGAATGGCAAATACGGAGAAGCCCCCAAAACAGAGAAGATGAAACGGGTATGATAGTAGAGAGGTTTCTTTTGCCTCTCAGCTGAGGACCATGGTGAGTTGCAGTCTAAGGAAGATGAACAAAAGAGAATTAAAATGTTTTCAAGAAACAGATGGTTGCAGCAACTCCTGCCGCCAGGCATCCTGGGCAGAGAGACATACATAACGAGGGGCAGAAAAGGGGAATGAAGAGAGGCAAAAAGACCGAGAAGACAGAGACATATTCTGTCTGAGACAGAGACGGCACATAAAATATGCATATATATATATATATATATTTACTATTGCCTAAGAAGATAGTAGATATATTATATCTATTATTGCTATATTATATGAGATACAATGTTTCAGGAACCAGATTCTGTAGAGAAAGAGGCAGATTCTTATCAGACGGTTAACAAGTGGACAGAGACAAATTGTATATAAGGAGGAACTA